AACATATATACACACATATTGATTTTAGTTAATAGAACAAATGTATAAGATACACATTTCAAGATGCTTGGTGATCCCTCAAACTTAAAGAGAGAACCAGCCCTAATGTGTGATCTTGATGTACTGATAAAAGTGACATGATGAGAAATCTTAGGGGAAAATTGGGGTATAACACCTTGCACCTTCCGGTCACCACCCTGATCTCATTGTCGGTCTCCACATCATCGTGACATTCCCTCTGTTTCTTCATGCTATGATCTGGTTTCCATACATCTCTGGTCATCACCTTCATTTCTTCGACGTCAATTTGGTAATTATTCTCTACTTTAATTGATTTGTTGAATTATTAAGATAATTGATTCGGTGATTTAAGTTGGATAATTGATTATGTGAATTAATTAGTTCTTGAATTGATTGTGTGAATCCAATTGAGTTGAACCTTGATTTTAACTGAAGCTTGAGCATATTTGTTCAACTGTGTTGATGATGATTAAATCTGGAATTGGTTGAACTTTTGAAGTATTCATGTGAATCTTGATAATCCGGATATATTCTGTTGATGAATTTTTGGTGTCAAACTGTGGTGAATTCTCGATGTTGAATTTTTGTTAAAGATTTAATGCCAAATTCATGTGTTAAGGCAATTTTGGATCGATTTAAACGATGAATTGATTTTTGCGACACTGAAAGAGTTTGGATCTGTTAATTGCGCTAACACATGAATGTTGATTATTTGAGGTTGGAAGCAGTAATTCCTATGTGATTAAACATTTTCAACCTATTTACAATTTCATAACGGCAACACTTGAGTTGATAATTACTTTAGTGCATCTGTTTAGGATTTTGAAATTCGACTTTTTTATCGATGTTGGTTCAAGTGTATATTGTTGTCCGGAATTGTAATTAAGTTGCAAATCACATTTTAAATATTGTTTGAGGTTCACTTGAGTTGCTTGCGCGTCGCATGAAATTGCTTCCCGGCTTTTGGTTTTCACCTTCCGTTACTTATTTGTAATTTGTTTCTTCACCTTTCATCGTTATTTTGAGTTGTAATTCGATACTTGATGTTGTGTTGTTATTAGCTAACTCGTTTGTGACTTGTGCAAGTTTCTGAAGGCTTTGTCATGCGTCACGTGACACTTGGATTATTGTCTTGTTGTAGAGACTTATCTTGTGCAGGGACTTTGATTCAATGCGACGAAATTTCTGCATGCGATTTATTTTCGCATTTGTGACATTGTTTCTGCTATTGGATATTATTTCTGAATGTTTCTCTGTTGCTTGGTGAAGCTTGCACGAAGTTTTCAGGTTTCTTTACTTTCATCTGATAATTGACGAACTTGTGTTTGATTGGTATTCTCTTCTGTTTCTTTTCATCTCTTGCATCATTTACCGCTTTCTTTGCCATGATAAGTAGGACTAGATACGCACGACTGGGAGTCCCTACTTTAGGTGGACAATGCTGTTTTAAAATACCTTTAGAAGGCAATTCATATTTATGCTTGTTTATTTACCATTCTATGTGTTTGCATTTATGCCAAATACTTTGATGAAGGCGTCTCATTCCCATTCCCCATTGATAAGTCCTCAAAGAAGGCAAGTGGAAAAGGATCCACAATCGATTCCCACAATTTCTAGTCCACATGTCATTCGTAGCTAGCGTCATACGTAGATACTACGAATCGTGTTATTCTTGTTATCGAGTTTGTCAAGTGGAGAAGGGTTTTCAATCAACCTCCATGCTTTGTCATTAGCATGTGTGCCGTGCACATTGACGCTCTGATGTGATCTCACTATTGCCTTCTATCTCCTACCTCGATGATGCAATATCTTGGTTAGGTGTTTAGTTTCCTGTGACGAATCACTCTCGTTCTTATCTTTCCTAGATAACGTGACATATTGGTTAAGAGTCGACACCCCTTATTCTTCTTTCCACAATGACATGCTATCATGGCTAAGAACTACCTATTCCCCCATTCTTGCTTGCCTCGATGATTTAATATCTTGGTTAAGCCTCCCTTTATCATACCTTGATGATTTGATATCATGGTTAGGTGCCCCTTCTCCCTTGTCCTACCTCGATAACACGATATTGTGGTTAGACGTGATCATTTTCCCTTTCCTTCCTTGGTAACATGATACCTCGGTTAGGTGTGTGCTACATGAGTGAGTGAATACTCCTCAAGCTTTGTGTGTTTACTTTCTATTTCATGTTTACATGCTCTCGTAGGATTTCTCGATTCAATCTTAGGAAGAGAATTGAGATAGACCTTAAGTTGCAAACCGTGCATGACAACTCTAGGATTACTTTGCTAGTTTCCCTTAGACCTTTTTTCTTTCTCTTTTGAATTTGATTAAAACTAAAACTCATTTTTATTTTAAACTCATTCAAAACACTCTAATACTACAAAAACTTTTTCAAGGTAAAAAACACCAACCAATTCAAACTTCATTTTGTTGCTTGGCTTTTCTTTCAAAACCCTTTTTCAAGGTAAAAAACATACAACAAATCGAAATATATGAGCCGAACTACGATGCTCTGATTCCTCGGAAGGGATACGTAGGCATTAGGTCACGGGATCTAGGCGAGAAAAACTTGGTAAATATTCCTTCTTTTCCCCGTGTTTTCTTTCGCATGCATTCCCTCTTAGAATTAAGCTTTAGACATAGATTTTTACACACCTTTAGATTAGAGCAAACTTAAGTGGATCATGTGGAGTAGCATAGAAGCGTGGGGTGCTAATACCTTCTCCCCGCGTAACCGACTTCCGTACCCTTTCTCTTGGTCGCAAGACCATCTTATCCATTTCTTTGGAGTTCTCGTGATATCTTCATTTCCTTCGGAATAAAGAGTTCGATGGCGACTCAGCGTTTTTTTGCGACGCAACAGACACGACTAGGTCAGGTTGGCTAGCAAGGCCTGTGCCAGATTCAGGAACGTCCCATACAAATTTCTAGAGGGTTGTATGGCTAATTCGTGTCAGTTGACACAGACTGTGTCCAACCCAGAAAACATCAAGTTTTCACATGTTGGGCTTATGGTACCTGAATCCTTTCCAAAACCAACCACAATTTCACAAGAACGTGATTGAATAAGGAGAAATCGACTAGTAAAACATGTCAACTAGGGCACGCATCAATTCTTTTTACAATGTCCTAATCTATACAAATAGTTTGCATGCTCACATTAGCTCACCAACACGGGTCGTGTTGGGTTCAACACGCACCTCCATACAAAAACTAGAGGGGGACACAACTATGTCATGTTGGTCAACAAGGCCTGTGCCAGACTCAGGAACATTCCATACAAATTTCCAGAAGATTGCATGGCCACTTTGTGTTAGTGGACACAAACCGTGTCCAACCCAGAAAACTTCAAGTTTTCACATGTTGAACTTATGGTCCCTGAATCCTGTCCAAAACCAGTCACAATTTCACAAGAACGTGATTGAATAAAGAGAAATCGACTAATAAAACATGTCAACTAAGACATACATCAATTCTTTGTACAATCTCAATCAATACAAATAGTTTTCATGCTAACGAGAGAGAAACTAGCATCACAGTCATTTTTTATTAAATTTGTTGATTTTATTGAACCCACCAAAGAGGTTACCGTATAGATTCGTCTATCTTTTGTCACTCATACTACTCTACTTTGTTTTGAAGTAATCAATTTATTGGTCCCTCGGTGTTACTAAACAAATAAGAAGATAATGACATATGGCCTACTACTTACGGTTCATTATTATTCATAGAGAGTAAGCCCTATCCTCTAGTATTTTTGATGGAAAGAGTCCCCCTGGACCCTAGAGACTATAATAAAACATTCCAATTGTAATCTAGCATTCTTTCTTTTTTTCTTTCAAACACAACAATTTCATCCCTAATTATAAATTTTGTGATAGTTTTATATATGTTCAAAAATATAATTAATAGTGTACAATATTTTTCTTTTACAAAATTAATCTTATTAATAAATAAATAAATTTTTTATTTTTAAATTATAAATTATATGATGAAAAATAAAAGAAAATATTTTATTTTTATGAACCTAAAATAAAACCTAACACATTTATTTACACATTTTTTATAATAAAAAACGAATTGAATCAATTCAACATTTAAACTTAATTTTTTTATTGGATAGACCAAATACTGTAAAAAGTTATATAAATTGAAACTATAAGATATTTCATCACACTACTAATCTTAACTTATAATAAATAATATATATATATATATATTTTGTCAACTTAAAAATGAATATCAACCCTGCCTCTAATATTCCTACACATCTATCAAAATTGTTTAACGATACAAATAATATGTTATTTAAAATATATATATATATATATATATATATATATATATATATATATATATATATATATATATATATATATATATATATATATATATATATATATATATATAATATGTATTTGAATTGTTTTCAATTTTGTATACTTAATCATCAATATAATATACAATAATTTAATAATTGAATTGATTTAATTGATATTTTACAATTATTCATTGAAAATACATATTAAACTTGACACTTAATATCAACTAATTAATGATATTTTATTAATATAATCAAACAATTTTTAACTTTATATCAGCAGAATAACAAGTATTTGCTTTACCCTAATCCTCCACCTCTAGATCTCATAGAAAGAGACATTGATACTTTATTATTCAGCAAGAAATAAATGAATGGAGATTAGGTACCTCCATTGTACCAAAAAAAAGATTAGGTACCTCCAAGTCACATGCAGATAAACTCTACGTACATATATACATATGCAAACATAAGTGTACAGTTGTGGATACAACTACTAATAACAGCTCTATCAAACTTTAGGACCCCTACAATTAATATGAATATGTCTCAACCTATCAATATATATAACTCAGAACTACCAATCTTCTCTTCAAATTTTCTATTCATACCTTTCAGCTATTGTTATTTTCTTGCTTTCACATAGTTCAATATGAAGTTTTTTCATGTTACCACAGTACTATTTTTTGCATTAACTCTTGCTAGAATTGACCCTTCTGCATGCCAAATTGTAAAGGGAAAAGTCTCTTGCATTGATTGTACTCATGACTCTGATTTCTCAGGTTTGTTTCAATTCTCATCTCATTATTCAATTTACTTTATGATTTTTATGAAGAAAAAAAAACTATTTTCCATGGTTTCAGGAATTAAGGTCTCTATGAAGTGTGAAGGTATGAAAAACTTGGCTATGGCAACTACAGAACATGATGGCTCCTTCATGGTTGATCTTTCCACGTACCATACAAATCCTGCTTCTCATAATTGCCATGCAAAACTTCTTGGTGGACCAAGTAACCTTTATGCTTCAAGGAAAAACCAATTCTCCCAAATTGTGAAGGACAAAGAGGAAAATAGCTACACAACTTCAACTCCTCTAAGTTTCTTCACTTCTTGCCCCAAAAACACAGAATGCAAAGATGAGAATAACCAGTTTGGCTCATCCAAAACCTACAATTTTCCTTTGCCTACACAGTGGGGTTTGGCACCAAGTAGTTTTTATCTTCCTTTCTTCCCCATCATTGGAATACCATGATCATATATATGTTGCATTAAATACACTTTTATGGTTTTGTTGTCTCCTGGAAGAATGGAAGACATAGCTGTGGAGATTTAAATAATTCATGTATGTTTAAGATGTATGTGAAGAAAGTTCATTTTATTTCATTTTATTATTTTGTTGCTAAGAAAGTTTATTGATGTCTTAGGTTGGAAAAGCAGATAGTTACATCCTCCTGTTTTGTCCAATATTTATGATATGTAAAAGCACTATTCTCAGCATTATGTAGTGGGTTGAGTTAATCCATGTCTTTTTACTTTTTACTCAAATTAATTCAACGGATACTATATAAAAGAGAAATGATATCAGTACACTTAAAATTAAGCTACTGTAAAATATTATAATAAAATAATAATATTTATAAAAATAATATTTAAAAAAAATATAAGTTTTTTATTTTATTTTTTAGATTAAAGGGTATCGATATAAAAATACTTTTTATATTTTATTAATCAATTTTGTTTTACTACTAAAATTATTTTTAATATTTGAGCGTGTATTAACCAACTTCATCATTTTATTAATCAACTTTTTATATTTCATTAATTATCTTTGTTTTATTACTAAAAATTATCTTTAATATCTAAATATTTATTAATCAATTTTATCATTGTATTGATCAATTTTTTATATTTTATTAACCAATTTTATTTTACTATTAAAAATTATTTTTAATATTTATATATTTATTAACTAATTTCATAACTTCATTAATCAACTTTTTATAATATATTAACCAGTTTTATTTTACTATTGAAAGTCATTATTCATACATCATATTAACCAATTTGATTATTTAATTAATTAATTTTTTATATTTTATTAAACAACTTGTTTTACTATTAAAAGTTAATGTGCATGCACTATTTATAATTATTATTCATGCATTGTTTATGTCATTGTTCATATACTATTTACACAATTGTTTATAATTTTTTATTTAAAAAAATACTGTTTATCATCAGGGGCGGATCCAGTCATTATATATTGGTGTGGCTAAGTATAAAATAAAGTATGAACTAAAGAGAACAATGAAACCATTTAAAAAATTTATTCATACTATAAAGAGAACGGTAAAATCAATTTATTATAAAGAAAATCATTTATGAGAAATTGAGCAAATTGATTTTTTTAACAAATTGTGGTTTTATGGTTTAGCTAAAAAAGGAGAAAAGAATAAGAGAAAATTGAAATACTCCCTTTATCTTTGATTTTCAATCACCATAAATAAATGCAACTAAGCCAAGTAAAAAAATTAGAAAAAGAAAAAGAAAGATTAACAAATATGAGAGAAAGAGACAAGCATGAGAGATGGTGAGGTTTGAGATAACTAGAAAAAGAAGTTACAACTTGAGAGAGAGAAAAGTAGTGTTTTAAAACTGGACTGAATTGAGAATCAGAGGTGTCACCAATCTAGTTTGATTGCTAGACCGACCAAGCTATTGAATTGGTGTAAACTAGCCAGAACCGCCAAAATCTGTAAAAATTGAAGGTTTGACAGTTTTCAAACATCGGTGGATTAATTGCTAGTTTAATCATTTTTTAAGAAAAATTTAAATTAAAATATTTGTATACTTTGTTCATAACTTATTTGGATCAATTTTCTCTCTTTAGAACTAAATATATTAGACACGTTATTTTGCTATTAATTTTATGTTGCAATTTAACTTTGTTCAAATTTTATTTGAACATTTTGTTATGTGTGATGAATATATATTTAGAACTTGAATTTAAATAAAGAACTTGTGAAATTATGACATTTTAAAATTTTATAAGTTTCGTGATATTTTTTAGAGACCGAGTCATTCAGTTCGATTGGTTTAATATCTATAAAAAATTTATAGAGACTCGTTTATTTAACCGAGTTATCTGTATTAATTCAGTTTAGTCATACTAGTCACACAGTTCAATCAGTGACTCAATGATTCGACCAATAAATCATTGACTCAATATCTTTACCATTTTGATAACTGGTCCGATTTTTAAAACATTTGAGAAAACTGAAAGAAAGAGTTAGGAGAGAAAAGTGAGTTAGTAATATTTTTTACTAATTATTTTAATAAGCCTTAGTGCTTATATATAATTAAAAAAATTAATTATCCTAATTATAAACCTTAATGTATAATATAATATAAAAAGAAAATGAAAAAACTGAGGGCTATAGCCACACCTAACCCCAACGTGAATCCGCCCATGTTTATCATATAAATATGGTAAATAGTATATACTATATAAGTATTTAATGTAGGAACGAACAACATTGCCCCTATATAAAAAGAGTGGTGCTATGTTGACACCATATTAAGTTACACGGTATTTACTGTAAAATTTTCTAACCATTTTAACTTTGGCAAAAAAACCAAAGCATGCAAAAATTTATTTAAAAAAACAAAAGGTATATCTTACCGTATTTATATAAGGTGTTGTTGTAACTTTAGGTGTTAACTTAACATTTGTCATATAAAAAGATGAGTGGATTTGTTAGTTCAAGTGATAATACCTAATAATTGAGTTTTATTTTTCTTGAGTTAAAAGGTAATATATTGATAATGTTATTCAATGAAAATTCATCATTTAGTAATATTATATAATTTATTTAAAAATAACACTATAATTTAATATTTTATATGGTTGTAATTGATTGACATTGTAAAATTATTTTACATTGTCAGCGTATATCTTTTATTCTCTTTTATTAAACGCAAAATATTATATAAAAATGAAAAGTAAATACTAACTTATTCCTAAAAAAAATTTCAATTTCATAAACACCGAGTGTGATAATCGAATTTTTTTTTACAATAACCATGTATTAAAAAAATAATTCGCAAATAACCGCGTTTCGGAAAAAATTACGCAAATAACCATGTTTCAGATGACTCCCCAAAGGAGGAGTCATCTGAATTGGCGCCTCCACCCCTACTTTTGCCCTAGGCGCCATCTCACTTGGCGCCTCCCTTAACTTTTAGCCAAGTGAGATGGTGCATGCTCCTTAAAAGTGAGAGGAGGCGCCATCTCACTTGGCTCCTAGAGCAAAACTAGGGAAAAATGCTGTTTTATAAATAATTCGTCTGTTTCTCCGAAATTTCGCACATTTTCTCGCACTGTATTTTTATTTTTTACTCTGTTATTTGCGTCATGACGTGGCCCATGATTTTTAGCAGAGATGGTTACGTTATCTTCTCCGCCACGAAACCTGCGATGAAAATGAAATTCTGGAACATTCACTCCATGGAGCGTCTGAAGCGGGAGTTGATGCGATGGCTAGATGGAGACATTGCGGAGGGGGGAAAATTCGAAGGATCCAGCGAAAACGAACAACAACCTCACATGCGACAGGAAGACCTAATGTATGGTTGGAGGAAGTCAAAACAGACAGCGATGTAATGTTGATGATGCATGGGTCAGATGAAATCGTGTTAACAGTTGTAATTTCGTAGGCGGAATATCGTTAATTTTTCTTGTACACGCAATATTTATTGTAGCAAAATCTGTTAACAAAAAACCCTAATGTTTACAATATAATTAAGGAAAGATTTTATGTATTACAATTTTTATGTGGTCGAGGCAGACGCCCGATTCGGACAATTTTTGCGATTGTGTCCGACCTGACGGCATAAACCACACTTTATTTCTAACTTGTCAAGATCGTCCATTTCTGTTGTGATGTGCTTACTTTTGGGACGACCCTTCTTGTTCCTTCGCATTTGGTCATTGTGCCACACTATTTCTCCGTCGTATGCAGGCCAATAATATGGTTTTGCTACCAAAGGAAAGTTGTTGTTGTAAACGTTGAGCAACGTTTCAGATTTGTAAATGTTTGACAGAAGTTGCAGCGCGTCTTGATGGGTATGAGCACAAGCGGCAATGACATGAGAGCAAGGCATACGAAATGCTTGAAACCTGCCACAATCGCACCAACGAGAAGGTAGCATGACCCTATATTCTTGTCTTGGCAGGCCTTCGTTGTGGTCGATTGTCTCTTTCACTATGAAGTTGTGGCTGTGTCGGTCAAACCGTATAACCATATGAGTGTTGGCTTTAGCACTTTCAGCCTTAATGTATTTCATACAGCTTTCACCCTATAGTTGTCCAGATTGTAACACCGCATTCCACATTTCACCTCTTTTGGAAAATAACGCAGCCATCCTAAAATACGTAGATTTTACCAAAGCAGTGATCGGGAGGTTTCGTATGCCTTTGAATACCCCATTCATTGATTCAATAAGATTCGTTGTCATATGCCCCCATCTTTGGCCATTGTCGTATGACCTAGTCCATTTTTCCACCAGAATATTGTCGATCCACCTACCGGCTTCCGGATTTGACAAACGGATCTCGTTGCGGTAATATTTGAATGTGGGTTGTGTCAATGCATATCCCGCATTCATAACTGTTTTCCTTAATGTTTTGTCCTTGATCTCCCTCGTGAAATTCTAGACGATATGCCTAACGCAATAGACATGCGTAGAAGGAGGGTCATGCCAACCGTTTGCAGGATTATTGTAGGCACTTTCAATGGAGGCATGTCTGTCCGAGATCAAACAGAGATCTGGTTGAGGAGCCACGTGTATCCGCAGATTTCTCAGAAAAAAGCTCCAAGCACCACCGGTCTCCCCCTCGACAAGGGCAAAGGCAATGGGGAAAATGTTGTTGTTGCCATCTTGTGCAACTGCCATCAGTAGTGTGTCTTTGTACTTCCCATACAACCAAGTCCCATTAATTTGTATAATTGGTTTGCATGATGAAAACCCTGTGATGCATGGTTGAAATGCCCAAAACACTCGACTGAATATTCCGTTGTCGTTTAGTAGACTACCATCTTGAGCGTATGCTGGCACTGTTTCCAGAACGTAAACACTACCTAGAGAATACGTCTTGAGTGAATTCAGGTAGCGGGGAAGTTCTTGGTATGACTCCTCCCAGTTTCCGTACACCTTTTCAATCACCTTAGTCTTTGCTAACCACGTCTTACG